AAAAAAAAAAAAAAAAAGAAAGAAAGAAAAGAAAGTGAAGAGAAAGAAGTGAGGAAAGAGACTTGAGGCAGTCCGGCTTGAAAACCGCTCGACTCACCTCGGAATCGTTGCTGAGTTCTCTCCGCGCGGCACAGCCCCCTCCCCAACGTCCCAGTACGAAGGGCTGAGATCGCGAGGAGGGGAAAGCGGGAGGGGGAGGGGTGTCTTCCGTGTGGGGCGCCAGTCGGGAGGGGACTGGGGAGGGGTGGAGGTCCGCGCAGGAAGAGGAGGAGGGGGAGGGGAGGCCCCTATCTCCCAGTCTCCCCCTGAAAACCTCCCTTGTCTCAATCACATCAGACTGACTGTCTTTGTCTGGCTGACAACCGCCATATTGATATCAACAGCCCCGCTCCCACCTGCTGCAGCCTGGCGGCCCTGGGAGTTGTAGTTCCTGCCTCCCCTGAGTAAAAGCGCGGACTCAGCGTCCAGAGACTCCAGGGAACTACAACTCCCAGCAAGGCCCGCGCCCGTCGGCCTTCCCACAAGGAGGAGGGGAAAGGGGCGCTAGAACTGTAGGGACTACACATCCCAGAACACCATGGGCACCAGGCCCAGACTGAGGACATGATATCGTGCTAGGGTGGAGAGGCAGGATGAATTGGCGGCTGGGATGAATTTGAGCTGACCAAAGGAGGTATTTAGAGAGGAAAGGGAGGAAAAGGGAAGATAACTGCAGTTCCCATGATGTATGGAGGGAAGACTACATTTCCCATGATGCCCCGGAAGAGGACGCAGGGAAGAAAGACTGCATGTCCCGGGATGCTCTCCTCCCGCGAGCGGCGGAGCTTGAACCGGAAGACTCTTTCAAGGCTTGAGGAGTCCAGTGGCTGGTGTTGAACATCCAAAAGTCCAATATGAAACTGGTGAGTCTCCGCTCCTAGGTCACAGGGCGATCGTTATGCCATATCCTTTGGGCTTAGTCGTTTCCACCTTGTGAAGGGGACCGTCTCTAAAGGGGTGGCAATTAGGGTACTAGAAAGTGGGGTGGACTAAGGAAAGCTGCTGTTTGTTGTTGAGGGGGTTAGACGCACACCTCCCTACCCCACCCCACACGCAACTGCCCCCTTTGGTTAGGTAAGAGGTTGACAGTGACATTTCTTCACCGACTAACCAATATTGGGCTTTGTGAACCAGGTTTGACTTGTTTCTCAGCTGCCACGTGCGTGTTATAATAGGTTGTTACCCTCTTTCCACGCAGTTGGCACTTGATTAGCTTTTCTCTCTGGTTGAGAAGGCTTTGGTACTTATGAGTAGAGGGTAGAAAATATTGGACAGAGGGTAATTATTAAATTTCCAATTTTGGACTCCTAATTGCACTTGGAATTCAGAGAAGGACAAGGGCAGGGTGTGTTCTTGGAGGTGTTGAGGCTTCAACCCTGTATAGGATATGTATGGGTTGAGAGGAGGTGTTATGACGTTACAGTTGGGAGCGCCCTTCTAGTTGCTAGATGAAATGATGCCTGTTCATGAATCGCTTCATAAAGCCAATTCTGTCTTCAAATTAAAATTAAAAAGACATTACAGTCTAAGGCTGTAGGGACTTAAGGAACCAAGGTTAGATGGAACATGCCAGTATACCCGAAGTCTGCATCACAAAACACAAAACACCTGGCTTATAGGAAAATTTCTCACACCTTTATTTTGAGGCATTGTTCTGTCAATGTGCACACAGACCTAACTAGCGTATTTCACCTGTGTGGGATTAATAGCGTAATTAGGAGAGTAGAAAAGCATGTGTGAAATGCTGTACCTTTTAAAATCATGTACCTGTAGCCAAATACTGTCAAGCTTCCCTTTCTGTAATTTTTATACAAGAACAAATTATTTCCCCCCCATTTATGTAATTATTTGAACATGCTTTTCCAAAGCACACCCTCATCCTCTCTTTGGTAATTACCATTCTGCAGGTATATACTTACTTGCTCAGCAATGTGTCAGCTGTTTTCTGAGAAGTCAAAGAAAGTATTAAAAGTAGATTCAACTCCAAAACTGTCTCCATTTAAAGCTGTTTGTGTAAGGGGAGGGCACAAATCAGTAAACCTTGAGAATATCAATTGCTTCTGGGTCAGTGTGCTAGACACTTAAGAATGCAGAATTGAAAGTCACCATCCTAGCCCTAAAGAATCGTGCAGTATAATGAAGGTAGAAAAGTAAGCCAAAATTATAATTCACTATATTCATGATAACACAGAGGCATGTGCAGGGCTTGGAGAGTTGAGAGAATGATTGAGAGATAGCTTCCTGGAAAGGTGACTGAAAGTGATGAGAAGGATGAGTAGGCTAGGGCCTTCCATGAAGAGGGTTCAGTTTAGAAGCAAAAGAGCTTGGGACTAAATGGTTGCATTGTCTTCAATAAAGGATAAATTACATTGGATGTGCTTGGTGAAAAGGCGTGCAACTGTGAAACCTTTTTTCCATAAAAAACCCCTTTGCTGAGGTTATCAGAGACCCATGGTTTACTTCACAGGTGTGAGTTTATTCTTGTATTATTTATTCATTAGTAATAATCATCACCTGCATGCCTTTTTCCATACGAACAATTGTAGACCTGCTTTTGGCCACCCCTGTACTTTGGTTTGCTCACAATATCCTCCTGCTTAATTTGTTTAAGAGATTGGGAGGGGGGGGAGTAGAAACTTTTTTTTTTTCTCGAAGAACCAAAAGATGCCTCAGAGGAAGTGTTAAAACTCATTTGGTAGTTAATAGATGATCTGTAATGCAGAATTTCTATCAACATAGCAAAGTGGTTTCAAAAACCTTGACACAGCGAATTAGACTTCTTTTGTGTGACATGCCTCCCATAGAGTTGGAATAAGTCCTCCATGGGCCTAAAATATTTAATTTTGTGTACTGCTTCAAGAATATGTAGTAAGCCATGTTTTATGTTAATATAATGAAACACAGAAATACATTTTATTGAGCATGTTCTTGCATTTGAGATTATGACTTGCCAAATATGCTTCCCATGCAGTCTGTGACTGCATTTTACTCAGTCTACTGTTCCTCAACAGGTCTATTTCTCTCCAGTCCTTCTAATACTGTCTTGTAGAGGCTCTTTTAATTTGACATTTGGAATTCAAAACACCTATCTGATCTGCCTCCATTCAGTCTTACCCCCCTCCAATCCATTTTCTACTTGAAGGATAGCACTCCCATTTTAGCACTCCCATTTTCTACTTTTACAACCACTACTGTGAAGCTAAGCAAGAGCAACACAATTTGGTAGAAAACAATGACCTCTTCCCCTCCCCTGGCTCTTTGTAAACTTTGTAAAAGTTTCCTCCTGTAAAAATTCCAGGGAATAGTTAACCAGGAAGGTTAATGAACGCTTATCTTAGTTTGTATATACCACTTCACTAGTCCCCCACTTGCCCCCCCTTAGCCAAATAGAATGTAGTGTTTGCCTTTATATTCTCCCTGCCAAGACTGTTCGGGCTGCGAGTTTGTTTAGGACAGGAGGCCGCTCACAGTCGCTGGCTAATAAAATCTCCAGACGGTCAGTTTGGTCTCTGTGTGAATTGACCTTGCGTAAGAGGGATATAACATACTCTACATCCCAGAAGTTTTAAGCTGCAGAGTTAAAGGAAACCCTTTGCCCTTAGGATAAAGTTTTATAATTCTTCACTTGACTTATTTGGTCTGCCTCCCTCTTTAGGCTCACATCTAGCCCTCATCTCCCTTGTGCTCTTTTTCCCAGTTATTTTGCTCATCTCCCAGTTCCTTGAACTTACCCTGCTCTCTTTTGCCTCTGGGACTTTACATATGCTCCATTGCCTACAACATTTTTCTCCTTGCCTAATTTCTTTATACATTTCATGTGTCTGTTTAAATAGCCCTTAAGGTTTCCTTGAATTCGGTACCCCTCTCACATGCTTCCATGGCACACTTCCTTTTGTAGCATTTGTGATTATTGGTTTTATTTCTGCCCTCCCTCTTGTAGACTTTGTGTATTCCCAAGGCCCAACACAATGCGACACCGCTAAATAGTAGTTGAATAAATAGTCTATGAAGACTTACCATGGTCTATGAATATCATTGAGAAAAGAGTAAGAGGTAAAGTTAAAACAGTACAATAAGCTAGATAACACTGGAGTAAAAAAAAAAAAGTACTGCCCTTTATGGAACAATTACTGCGTGCCAGGCACTGAGTTAAGATAGGTGCTATTCAGTGACCCATTTAATCTTTTGGTCTAGGGGATAGTATTTCTATTTTACAGATAAAACAAATATCTCAGCCCCTGGAAAGTGATGTGGCTCAAAGTTACACAAAGGAAAAAAGTGGTGTAGCCAAGGTCTGAACCCAAGATTTCTTCCTCAAGGGTCTGTTGCTTAATGAGGGCAAGGAATCCAGCACCTTGCACAGTGCCAGACATGTTCTAGGTTCTCTCTTAAAGAAAGGAAACCAGAGTGCATACTGAGAGACAGTTTATTCCAGGCTATTTTTTTTTTTCTTAATAATTATAGTTTTGCCCTGGCCGGTTTGGCTTAGTGGTTAGAGCGTCAGCCTGAAGACTGAAATGTCCCCTATTAGATTCCGGCCAAGGGCATGTACCTTGGTTGTAGGCTCTCCCTGGCCCTGGTTGGGGCACTTAGGGGAGGCAACCAATCAGTGTGTCTCTCTCAGATTAACATTTCTCTCTCCCTCCCTCCCTCTCCCCCTTACGCACTCTCTGAAAAGCAATGGAAAAAATATGGTTGGGTGAGGATTTTTTTTTTTTAATTTTTAATTGGAAAAAAAAAAGAAAAGAAATGGATTCACAGAAGCAATGAATTCATGGACTACTCCTTGTGGAGTAAAACACCAAGTAGATTTGTAGTTTATATAGAAGATCTTTCTTTGAAAGGGGCAAATCCTGCCCCAAGGTCAATTTAACAAATCTTTAGAAAGGGGTGTGGTTAATCCTTACGTTGGATCTGAGAGGGATGGACTGTTTCTCCAGTTGGCAGAATTGCAAAATTTTTTTAGCTTTTTAGAATTTGGATTAAGAACAGAAAATCTCTTGCTGTAAATTGCAAACACAATTTGACCAGTGCTTAATTCACCTATTGCAGTATGATCATTAAAATGTCAACCTAATTTCACTATCTTTTCTGTGTTTTTCTTTGCTGGTTGATTAGAGTGCCCTCCTGTGTCTTTATGGTGTAATATCATTTCAAGCTTTACAATGTTCTCAGTATGATAGATAGGTTTTTCTCCTTTCAAATGATTTCCTTAAACTCTAAAAAGCCATGTGTGACATAAGGCCAAGTCACTTACCTTGTTCAGTAGTGTATTGGGATAAAAATGGATAACTTAGTCTTGGGCATTTCAAAGCCCTAATGGTTGCTGTGAAGATTAAATATTTTATACTTATTAAGGCAAAAACGAAAGTATACTAATGATAGGTTTGGGGGGGTAATAGTTGAGTTGAAGAAAAAATATATATATACATGTGTATGTATGTATGTATGTATGACTTACCAAACAAGCATGACAACATTGCTGTTGCTTATAACTGCAGAAGCACATTTGTTTTGTAACTGGTTTGCTCTGAGTATGCAAATCCCTCTGCCATTTGCTGTGATGATCAGCAAAGTATACTTGACAGACAGGGTCAAGAGTGCAGCATATTCATGGAACTCAGTAAAGCCTAGCATTCCTAATGAAAAATTCACTTTTTGCTTGCTAGATACCAACAGAGGGCTAAGCATGAACTGCCCCTCATATCTCCATCACCTGTTTACTCATTCAACAAATCTTCCTGAACATTGGCTTCCTCTGTGCTAGGCGTTGCTCAAGGAACTGGATATATTGCAGTGAGCAAAACATATTTACTCTCCACCTTTATGAAACTAAAGTCTAGTGGGCCTACTGTGCAATTCA